CTTGCAGCGAGATCGCTGGACAGGTCCCGGGGCCGTCGTCTACCAGGCCAGGAGTACAGTATGGGTTGCGATGCGCCATCGTCTTTTGACGTGCTCCGTTGAGCAGGTGAGGCCCGCGACGAGGCCGCAGGCCTTGGGTGCTGAGCTGCTCGACAATCCTCGGTTCGACCAGCTTCGGCAGGAGCTGAGGAACCCAGGGGGGCGTGTTGGGGCCGTCGATGTCGAGTCGGAGGGGCCCCCTCCTCCGGAGGCCTGGGATGCTCCGGGAGACTCCGGAGCTCCCGTGGCGGAGTCCAGAGGCCCGCAGGGCCCTCCCCCGGAGGTGCGAGCTGTTGCCCCGTCGACCGCGTCGACTGTCGTTCCTGAGGTCGGGTCGGCGACTGGCCCTGCCTCGTCGGAGGCCGAGGCTCCCGGGGCCCCGCCCGTGCAAGAACCCTCCCCCGCGGTCGTCGCGATAGACGGCTCCGACGCGGAAGCTCAGGCGGAGCGTTATCCGCGGAGGCCGGCGGAAGAAGCCCTCGAGGAGGCTCCTCCGTCTTCTCGGAGAAGGGGTATAGGGGCGAGGTACACTTCGGACGCGACGGCTCTTGAGCGAGAGAGGGCCGCGGTCCGATCCGAGCGGGGGTTGCAGCTTCCAGCGACGGCTGGTCAGCCTTCCTCGGCAGAGCAGCTGACCGGGTCAGGGCGCGTCTCCCGGATGGTGGCTGAGCGCGAGGGCGTTGCTGCTGGACGTCCGGCGGCCGCGCCAGTTTTTGAGGCGGCAGAGGCTCGCCGCAGTCGGTCTCCCCCTCCAGCTGGGGCGCGAGGGGAGGCCGCTGTTTCTGCTTCTAGGGACTGGCCCGAGCTGGTTTGGACGAGAATCCCGACCACTGGGGAGCCAGTCCTGGGATTGGTGAGCTTTGGTGACCTCGAGGGGGGAGAGGACCTGGAGCAGGACAGGGTTTTGAACGAAGAACTGGCGTCGATGTTTGTTACTTGCGACGCGCTCTTCTCGGCTCTCGGTTCCGAGGAGGGCTCGTTTTATATAGATTTGCCGGACTGTTTTTCTGGGCTCGTGGGGGCCCCGCCTGTTCCACGACGAGGGGCGGAGGTGCAGCTGAAGAATCTGACGCCTGAGCAGCGGTTTGAATTTGAGGCATCAGACGCCAGGGGGTGGGCCGCGACGACGGCTACCGGGGCAGTGCGAGGCGCCGGCACCCGGATCGGATTTTGTCTTCTCGGATGGTCAGGGGGCTGAAGCCCTCCGAGGGGGTAGGCAGCGCGCCTACCGCCAAGAGTCGCTGGTGCGTGCATGGCCACCAGGATCCGGACAGTGATACTTTGCAGGTTTATGCTCCTACTCCGCAGTCAGAATCAATAATGCTGGCGCTACAGGTGATCGCCTCCATGGGGTGGGCCCCGGGGATAGCAGACGCAAAGAATGCGTTCTGCCAGAGCAACCGTCTCGAGAGACCGAAGGGGGCTATCTATGCGGAGGCCTGCTCAGGCCTCGGGCTTCCGGGGGAAACTTTGATCGAGCTGATCGCGCCTGTCTATGGGCTGAGTGGTGCCCCCCTGCTGTGGCACCGGACCCTCGCGGAGCATTTGGGCGAAATCGGTTTTACTCGCTCGCTTTTGGAGTCATGCCTGTGGCTGCAGCGCTCGAGTTGCGGCAGGCTCCAGTCTCTCGTGCTGCAGCGACCTGATCGTTGCCGGAGATGCTAAGGTGCTGCCCGACTTGAAGCGCCGCCTCTTCGAGCGTGTTAAGTTCGGTAAGTGGGGGGAGGGAGAGGCAGACTACGCCGGAAGGCATATCAAGCAGCGGGGCGGGAAGATAACGGTGGATCAAGAGAAGTATGCGCGGGGGCAACTTTCGCCCATTGCCATCGCCAAGGAGCGTGCTTCTCAGGCCGAGAGCCCGCTCACGTCGTCTGAGATATCCTCGTGCCGCACTACGATGGCCCAAATCCAATGGCTTGCTCGAGAATCTCGCCCCGATGTGACCGGGGGCGCATCTCTGCTGGCAGCAGCGCTCCCGGAGCCACAGATTTCCGATGCTCTTATGGCCAACAAGGTGGTTAAGTTTCTGAGGGCCTCCGCTTCTCAGTACATCACGATTTGAGGACTTGATCCGATCGCTACCACGTTTGCGACGGCATCCGACGCCGGTGGCCCTGGGTCAGCACGGCGAGGAGGTGCCCAAGCCGGCTGGCTTGTTTTTGCAGCGGATGCTTCCATTCGCGAGAATAAGCGAGCTCGCGTGAGCTTGCTTGCTTGGCGCTCTCAGCGGCTGAAGCGAGTTGTTGCTAGCACTATAGCGGCAGAGACGCTTTCTCTGTCTGCGGCGCTCGCAGGAGCACAATGATTGCAGATTTTGTGGCGCGACGTTGTGTTCGGGGATGTCTCGAGACCGGATTGGACGGCTTCGCAGGGGCCCTTTTCGGTGGTGATCTCCCGGGACTGTGAGATCGGAGACTCGGCCTCATCGTTGAGTGTTGTTGACGCTAAGAGTGTTTTCGACACGCTGTCCAGGAATAGTGCCGGGTCTCGCGCCGATCGGCGCAATGCTATCGAGATGGCCGTAATACGTGACTCGCTCAGCGCGGTGGGGTCCACGCTGAGATGGCTCCCGCGCGGCATGATGCCGGCGGGCCCCATGACGAAGGTGGATCCCGATCGCGGCAACGCTGCGTTGCATGACATTCTGACGCGTGGGACCTTGTGCCTCATAGATGAGGACGGCCACTGCAATGAGAGGGCCCTGAATGCGGCCTTGAAGTCACGGTCCCGCGGAGCCTCGAGGAGGGCCCTTCAGAGTCACGCTAAGGTGTCCGACGTGTCGGGACTTGCTAAGGTCTAAGAGGAGGATGAGGAGGAGGAGGAGAAAGAAGGAGAGGAGGAGGAGGCTCCAGGAGGCATGAGGAAGGAGAGGAGCAGCAGCAGCGGTGGCGGCGGCGCGGCGGACGCGCGCCCGGCCCGCATACCTTCGGCCTCGACTTCGAGGCCATCGGCGCCGCCCGGCGCCGCGAGGATCGAGGAGGTGGAAGAAGGTTAGGAGGAGGAGGAGGACTCGTTCGTGTTGTCCGACAGCCCGGCCTACCTTACCCGAGAGTAGGACCGGCTGTTTCCCGACGGCCCTCAAGGGCCTCCGTGTTCGGCGTCGTTCCCCCCTCTATGTCTTTCCCTCCGTAGCCTGTTGGCTTAGGCGCGACTGCATTCTAGTTGGAGCGCTCCCCGACCGCTCGAGAGAAGATCATCCTCTCCTCATCTTACGACCCTCCAGATCCATGTGTCCCCTCGCGCTGTGACAGGCCCACTTTGCTGCTCCTCGCGGGCGCCGCTTTCGCGCGCTTCGAGCGCCCTTGGCATCGTTCGGATGTGTGCATTTTTCCTTCGGCGAGGACCATCGGGGAGCATCCTTGATCATTTGGCGAAAAAACCACGCACGAAACCGAACAAAAACACAGGGAATGGACGTCCGAGCGATGGCGAGCGCCAGGGCTGGGGGCTCCGGCGCCGATCCGGGACGTCGGCGCGGCGCTCCAAAGGCTCGTGCGTTGTGGAGCTGTCTTCCGCCGAGAGGTGTCCCCGCTTACGTGTCTCGCCCGCCAGTCACCGCCCGCCAAACCACCCCAACCCAACCCCTCACTGTGACCTCCCTTTCCAGTGGGGGGGTGTCGGGGAACAGGGAGGAAGCGCGCGTGGAACCCGCGCGTGCCCCCCCCCCCGCAACCCGAAATTCGGGTCTTCGGGTTGGGTTGGGGTGGTCCGGCAGGTAGTCCGCCAGCGCAGTTCTTCTGCCCAGCCGCCGACGCGAACAGTCTGCAGCTGTGCTTTCTTCCTCGTCTTTGGGACAGAGGACCGCGCTCGGCTTCAGAGTTACCAGCTTCGAACGTATCCCTATCCTTAATTGACACGCCAAAAGGCGATGACAATCTTAGGGGTTCGCCCTCAAAAAATACGGGGACCCCTAATATTGGCATCGTGATGAGGAGGTGCCCAGCATGGGGATAGGGATGTGTTCCAGGCTGGTCAGCTGTGTTCTCTTCCTCGTCTTCGGGACAGCGGGCCGCGCTCGGCTCCAGAAGTGGCCACAGGTGCGCGGGCCGCGCCCTCCTCGTGCCCTGTCGGGGAGGAGCCGGGCCGCGACACCGCGCGAGGCCCGCCGTGGCCCATGGAGGTATTGCGTTCCCGACTGCAGTTGGCCTGCATATCACAAGGTGTTTTTTTTGTTTGTTGTATTTTTTAGGTGTATATATATAAAGCAGCATAGAGGGCCACTTCGTGAAATATTCACCTGCTCGTGATGAGTACGTATATTACACTCGAGAGCTGACAGGGACGCAGGGGATGCACGATAAGGATGCACGATACGGACGCACGATAAGGACGCACGATAAGGGCGCGCGAGAAGGGTGCAAAGGATTTGGAAGGACACCTCGGAGCTTTCAGAGCGGGGCGCGGGCAACGAAAGTGGCCAAGAATGGACCCAGGAGGCAAATATGCAAGGATACCCTTGGGATGGTTGCCCATCTTCACCACGCGGTTTGACTGTAAGCGCTCTCGATGGTAACACGATGGCTGCACCTCCTGCCCTGCCCTCGTCGCCACGGCTGGATTCGCCCCTCGCTACTTACGCACCAGACGTGTCCAACCGAACCCGAGCGCCCCCAACCGAGCCCGAAGATCCCAACCCCCACGAACATAATTTGCACTGTGTTTTCTCCACGTGATCCACCGTGTTTTCTCTAATTATGTGTTCCACTGTGCTCTCTCTGTGCGTTTTTTTACGTTTTCATTACGTTTTCTATACGTGTTCCACATTGGGGGGTGTACGGGTTCCATTGGTTCTTCAGCGTTCCAGAGCGCCCCCCCCCGCTGGAAATCGGCCGGCCCAACGGCGACCTCGGGTTGGTTTGGGGAGTGGCCTGGTGGACAGTCGACCCCGAGATCCTGGTCGGACGGCGCCTCGGGCGAGGCCTGGGGAGTCGCGGTATCCGTCTTGTTCTGCTCCCGTGGAGGTGGGCGTGGACTATTGGACAGCCACGAACCTGGCCGTCCTAGAGAACGTCAGCACCAGTGAAGGCTGCCTCCAGAGGTTCGGGTCGGACGAAATGGGGGGGGGATATTCGCAAATGGAGGGGAACGACCATGCTGCTGGCTTCGGTCCCTGCGATAGGCGTTTTCCTCGATACCATGTGCGCTTCCACCGCCAGGGAGCACTGGAACACCAGCTGCGCGAGTCCACGGTCACCCTCCCCTCCCTTCCCCCGTAACGTAACGCTCCCCCCCTCAGTGCGTCCCCGGCACTGCCGCAGTGCGTCCGGCACCAACAGTCTGGGGGGGGCGCTACGTTATGCCCCTTCCCGTCCCCCCCTCTCCCTTCCCCCTAACGCCTGTGATGGCCGCGAAGTAAAGCATGCGTTCTTAGTAGATGATCGGGTTCCAGTTTTGCTCGTGGCCGCCGTCGCCGTCGTCGTCGTGACGTTTTTTGTTCGACTGGTCCGCTGATGCCCAGGAGGTGCCCGTCAAGCAGCAGCGCCCTGTGGGATCATCCGTGAGTTTGGTTCCAGGCGTGCTTGTGGGCGTGGTCGTCGTCGTCGTCGTTGAGATTTTTCGGCCGCCCGCTCCACAAGTCCTCCCCAGTGCCTGAAGCCTTGTTTCTGAGTCGTCCCCCTCGCGCATTTCTCTTACCCAGAAATCCTAGACTCTCCAGTTAGGTTTTGCCCAAGGGGTCCTCCTCTGCCGTTGCCCTGCTTCGAAGATTTGGTGGGTGCCGGGCCTGGCCTGGTGGCCATCCCCCGATGGCTTGCTCGTGTCTCGCGACTGCCGTCCTGGGGAGCGCCGGCCAGCCAGCCCGAGGTTGCTTCGTCCTGTCTCTTCGCAGGCCTAGAGGTTGACACCAACACCAAGATCGGCGGTGTGCCTCCACCGAGGTAAGACGATCCCGATCTCGGTGATGGTGGTAATATTCTGGCTTCCAAGGTGACCGACATATTACCACCAACGCCGAAATCTAGGATCATCTTCCCCATGTGGAGTCAACCCCCTGTGCTGGTGTTGGTGCCAATTTCCAGGCCCTCAATCTCTCGGCTGCCGTCCTCGGGTTCCTTGGTCTTGGCTTCCCGCTGGGCCTAGCAGACCTTGCGATGGCAGGCTATGCGGACGAACGCCACGGAATGCCCAGTCGTGCCGACCCGTGCACAACGCCAAGCTTCGCCAAGCAACGCCAGGCAATGTCAGGCAATGCCAAGCAATGTAAAGCTAAGCAATGCCCAGCAACGCGAAGCAAAGCACTGCCAATTAACGCGAAACAGTTCAAGACAGTGCAAGGCAATGTCAAGTAACGCCAAGCAATGCAAAACACATCAACGGAATGCAAAAGCAATTCCTTTTCTTGCTTACTCAGTTCTTTTGGAAGCTTTCCTCTAATTGGGGTGTCTGTCGCTGGGATCATGTTGTTTTTGTTCAATTGCGTGGTCTCCAGAAGTTCCAAGGCCAGTTCTTCATTCCGAGTCGTTTTTTGTGGTCACAGGGCCCGGCGAGGTCCCCTGGAGGCCGGACATTGAGAAACGCCTCCGCTTTCATTTCAGGGGATGTGAATTTCAGAAGCGGCGCTGGTACATCCCTGGTCGAAAACTTGCCTTATTCAGCTAACCCTGCCCGCTGAATCCCGCGCAATCTGGCTCAATCCCAGCCTAATCTGGCTCAGTGGGCCCTTCATCGGGCTTAATAGCCTTTGTCGTTCTGACGACTCGTTCTGACGAAGCAAGAAGACCTCCCAGGAGTTGCCTCCTCTGTGACCGCGCGGGGGAGGGGAGGGAGGGAGGGTGCCGATCACGTCACGATTCGCGCCGGCGCCGTCTGGGAAAGCCAAGCGATGGCGTTTTCCCAGACGTGGCGTGGTCATTGGGGGGGTGGGGGGAGTGAGTCGTGGCGTGGTCACGGGGGCGCGAGGCGTGGAGTGGCGCGAGTCGTGGCGTGGTCATGGGGGGGCGTGGGGGGAGGTGCGGCGGACGGCGGGGCGGGTCACGGGCGTTTTTATAGCGAGTAGTTAGTGTGGTCTCACGTCATCCTACACCGCGGGCCCCCCTCTTCACCGAGCGCATCCCACTACTCTCGGGCCGGACGAAAAGGGGGGATTCGGAAAGGGGGGGGTTCGAAATCTCCTGCATGCAGCTGGTTTCGGCCCGACCGAGGGGCCCATTCCTCGATACATGGGCGGCCTCCCGGCGCCAGGGGCGCCGGGAAAATCAGCTACGTGAGCTGATTCTCAAATGCCCCCTTTGCTATCCCCCACTTTCGCCCGGCCCGATACTCGCAAAAGAGCCTGCTCGCAAACGTCCAACAAACAAGTCGCCTGCCTCGATGCGATGGAGCCTGCTTGCCTCGATGCAGTGGATCCAGGCCACTTGCGAGCACAGTGGACCCGCATAGTAAGGATGAGCGACTTTCTAAGTTTGCCCTTTCATCCTTGCCCCTTCGGCCCATCCATGGCGAATTTCGCTGGGCATCCCCACTCGAATGGCGTCAACATGGCCTTCCAAGGCCCTTGCATCCTTACCGCGCAGCCCTATCATACGGGTTGACTGCACTGTGCGAGTCGTGGAACGCGCTCGTCTACCTCGAGCTCTGTTGAAAAACGTCAATATGGCCTTCCAAGGCCCTTGCGTCCTTACCGCGCAGCCCTATCAAACGGGTTGACTGCACTGTGCGAGTCGTGGAACGCGCTCGTCTACCTCGAACTCCATTCGAAAAACGTCAATATGGCCTTCCGAGGCCCTTGCGTCCTTACCGCGCATCCCTATCAAACGGGTTGACTGCACTGTGCGAGTCGTGGAAAGCGCTCGTCTACGTCGAACTCCATTCGAAAAACGTCTGGAACGCGCTCGTCTGCCTCGAGCTCTGTTCGCAAAACGTCAATCTGGCCTTCCAAGGCCCTTGCGTCCTTACCGCGCATCCTTCTTGTACGGGTTGACTGCACTTGGCGAGTCGTGGAGTGCGCTTGTCTACCTCTTTCCGGAGGGCAAAAACGCACAGACACAATCGTCGACTCCCAGGAAAATATGCGAACATATGGGAAGTGGGGGGGAAGACGAAACCCCAGAAACTATGGGGAAATAAATGGGGGATCCTTTTCACTTGAGTGTATTTCTTTGTGTGTCCCAGGGCCCCTTCGCAGAGGCGTCGCAGAGGCCGAACAAGACAACAATGGGCAAAAGAAGTATTTGCAAGTTTGTGACTCGTGTGTGCGTGTGTGTGTGTGTGTTTGGCGCTCCACCCTCGCGTTTTGTGTTTTTTTGCCTACGCGTCCTCAGGATGCGCGGCCCACTGACTGACTGACTGACCCGGGGCCCCTGCACTCTTGCCCGACGGGCCGAGAGGTGCACCGACGAGGCGCGCTGTGGCGCCTGGACCTGGGGCGAGCCGGACGGCACGCCCGAGGCGTGGCAGCTGCAGCGGGTGTGCTTCCTGAAGCCCACTGGCCTGAGGCCGCGGCGCTGGAATTCAAGCTCGGCCACGCGTAAGAGTTCTGCACGCACGAAATGGGTACTGAAAGAATGGGTACAATGCCAAACAGCGGATCTTGTTCATTTTGAACAGGGCTCGCTGTCCACGCCGCCGTTGCCTGTGTCCATTCGAGACAGGAGGCCGCCTGCCCAACAGCGGCCGCTGTTGGGTTGGGACAACATGTGCTGTTGGACATTGTACCCTTTTTTTCGGTACCCATTTCGGGCGTCCTAAAGAGTCGGAGATTGATAGACCTCCTACCCTGACACGTCGAGCAGTGATTTGGCCGTTGTCGGTTCGCGAGGGGGGGCGCGGTCGTCATCTTTGCGGGTCCAGGTCCGTCGGTTTCGGTCCCTGGCCGTTTTCACCAAGGGGAGGTTTACTAAAGGGAGGTTTGTCCACCGCCGAGGCGTGGCAGCTGCAGCGGGTGTGTTTCCTGAAGCCAACAGGCCTGAGGCCGCGGCACCGGAATTCATCAGAGGAGGAAGAGTTACCCATACCTCTACCCTTTCTTGGTTTTCCCTTTTTGGGGCCTCCCCGGAGGCTCTCGTCGACACCGCTGGATTCGCCTTGTAATTCTGCTCAGAACGCACCCGGGGAGAGGTCCGGGGAGTAGCGGTATCGGTACCTTTTGTTTCCCCAATCCAAGCTCAGCCACGCGTAAGAGTGACTTTCGGAGGTGGATAGACCTCCTACCCTGACACGTCGATTGAGGAATTGGCCGTTTTCGGTTCAGGCCGCGGCGCCGGAATTCAAGCTCAGCCACGCGTAAGAGTGACCTTTCGCCGGAGTGCTCTCTGGTGCGGGCACACTGGGGTCCCCAGGTGGCCGAATGCGATGCGATAGCAGCGGGCTGCGCGCTCAGATTTGGCCCCCCGGCGCCCCCCTGGAGCCGCGCACCAAGGGCCACTCTCGTCGGGGGATCGGTCTCATTAAGGTATCGGTTATATGTTGTTCGAGCACCTGTTTTCGCACATGGTGTTCCAAGGGCGCCCTCGAGGGCGCGAAGTTATTCGCGCTTCGCGGTTCGGCTCCGATTCCTTCTCTTCCTCCTTTTCTCCCTTGGGAGGCGGCGCGAGAGCGCGAAGTCATTCGCACTTCGCGCTTCGCGCAGCGCGAAGCGCGAAGCTGGTATCCCTTGTTTCCGGCGGTTGAAATTAAGAGCGTGGATTTCGAACACTGGTTTGCTCTAAGTACTTGTCGTGGTAGGCTTGTAGGAATGCTAGGACGGTCCCTGCTCAAGGAGTCCTTCTTGCCAGAGGTCAGGCGTCTCGAGCAAATTGGGGCCGAGCTGTGTCATGGTTTTCGGCCTCTCGGGGTCCTTTTCCAGGCCTCGCTGCAGCCAAGCATCGACTCGGTCTGGGGGGATTGACCCTGGGAACCGTGCCTGGAAAACGTCGAGGTGCCGCATGTTTGGTTTTCCCCTCGTGACCCATCACGACCCCCCTCCCCCGACCTCCACGGGGGCGAGGCACGCTTGCCGAAAGGGTGACGCGACCAGCGGTGAGATTCTGGGGAGCGGCCCGCGCTCGAGCGCCAGCCCCGGAGGCCGCCCACACCTCTCCCCAACCCCTGGTCCCGGGACCCCGCCTGCCAGAGATTGTTGGGCGCTGCGTAGTGGGGGATCATAAATGGGGGGGCGGCGAGTGTGGTCCGACAAGGTACCCAAACGGTACCCAAACGAGCCCCCTGGGGCTCTGGAGGGGCCCGAAAAGGGGCACAAAAGGGGACCTTTTCTGACCCCCCCATTTGTGACCTCTCCCATTCAGCCACGCCCAAGATTGCCGCGGGTTCCGCCGCCGGAGGGGGGGGTCAGGTTGGGCCATCATTCCTCATGCCCCGTGCTCTCTCCTCCTCGCTGCCTCCTCCTCGCTGCCTCCTCCTGCCTGAGTGCTGCCTCCTCGCTGCCTCCTCGCTGCCTCCTCCTCGCTGCTTCCTCCTCGCAGTCATCATCTCTCCTCCTCGCTGCCTCCTCCTGCGTGCGCCGCTCCCGAGCCCGAAGTGTGCAGAGAGAGAGAGAGAGAGAGAGAGCCGTGTGGGTCCAGGTGTGGCCGACCGGTGTCGGCCGAAGGGGGCGGGGCTCCCACGGTGGGAGGGGAGGGGACAGGGAGGAGGGAGGAGGGAGGCGGGGAGGAGGGAGGGGAGGAGGGAGGAGGGAGGGGACAGGGAGGGGACAGGGAGGGGACAGGGAGGAGGGAGGCAGGAGGGAGGGGACACGGAGGAGGCGGGGAGGAGGGAGGAGGGAGGGGACAGGGAGGGGAGGACGGCGGGGAGGAGGGAGGGGGCGGGCGGGATTGACGAGACGGGGGCGGCGGAGGAACCGATGTGGGAGCAGAAGGGGAAAATAATCCACGTTAGAGTCGGATAGGCTCAGGGGGGATCATCTGAAAGCTCCGAGCTTTTTCGAGTGGTTTCCATCAGCTGCGCCTCTTCGATGGCGTTCCAGGGGTGCCGGGGACCGTCCCGGACGACCTCCGGAGAGCCGACGCATGGTCCGCAAGTCGGGGGCGGCAACGAGGGGGGTGATGACTCGGGGGGGGGGGATATCATGGCGCGGGCCAAGCTTGTTGTTCCCCAGATTTCATGGCGCCTCTCCTCCTTTCATCACGCCCCTGGCCCCCCCGCAGGGCCGCGCACCCATGCCGCCGGCCATGAGTTGCGCCGCCCCCTCCTCGGACACCCCCCTCTTTCAGGAGCGGAAGAAGGACGTGCACGTACATGAATCCACGCTGGTTTCGAGAGTACGCGTTGCCCGAAAGTTCGTATCACGCGGCAGGTCTCGCAGATCGAGGGGCCGTGTTAATGTACATAGCTGGGCGCGTACGTCCTTCGTGGGTTCCGTACTCTTGGCCGCCCCCGAAAAAACTCTCGCGCGTGGCCGCGGGCGCTGCGGCGGGGAACGGCCCGCGGAGCCGCCGCGCCCACCGCCGCCGTGGCGGCACCGGGCCCCGCCAGGGCGGGCCGCCCGGGAGAGCGAGGCGTATACGGCTCCTCTCCTGCCTGAAGGCCCTCGGCCTTACTAATTGTTAGCAGCAGTTGTAAGTAGGTTATAAGTAAGTTGCAACTAGGTTGCAAGTAGGTTATGACCATTAGTAATGTTACTAAGTCGGCTAACTCGGGCGGTGCATTTGGAGGTAGATAGCTTGAGTTAACGCAGTTACTAACTTCGCTAACTTTTACATGCTTACTTGGAAACAGAGCTGCTGCATCGGGTTTTCCTTGGATGTTGCCTCCAGAAACGCACGCATGTGTTTGGATTTTCGGGATCACGCATATCGGAAATCATGATCCAGACTTGCGTGCGGACGCATTCAGAATATTGTATCGAGCGTTACAAGAATGTTGTGCATTGCAAATGCAACATATCATTTCGAATTCGCAACCATCTGTTGCACATGTTTTTGAATGTCACTAGAGTTTGGGCTCCAGCCGTTTGGGCGAGGATTGCTGCTGGCGCTTGTGGCGTCCTCCTGCACGCGGCGTGATGAACGCCTCCCGTGAACAGCAGATCGCGGAGGTCCGCCCCAAGATGATGGCCATCAAGGACATGTACTTGCATCCTGATGCAGCGGTGGTCTCATTACTTGAAGACGTACGCAGCACTGCAAGAGGCATAGACTGCCTGAGGGTAGAACAAAAACACTCGAAGTATATGATTGTGTGCACAGAGAATCGTTACGGAGATGGGATCATTCCGAGCGAGGTTATGGATTTGATTTCCAAGATCTTCAAAAATGGATTCAAGAATTCAGCCCTCCAGAATCCAGATTGCATGGAACTTCCACCACTGGGCACGCCTGGGTACAATACAATCAAGAACTTCAATTTCAAAATAATGGAGGACTCAGCGGGCCAGCTGCCGCAGTATGATTGCGATGCAAAGATCGCATCCTATACGTGCGGCCACACATCCATGGGTTTGCGTTGCATCAACGCAGGAGTTCCAGTACCCACGGTCATGCCAGAGCGTTTCGACAGAATCTCGCACCAAGAGAAATTGCCACTGACGAGGTTACGGGAGGTTCAACCAGACTACGCTAAGGCGTGTGACGAAGGAATTGAGTGGAAGGTCTTTCGGTACGAGTTCGTGAAGGAGTTCCCGTGGATTAGTAATCCTGCTCAGGAGGCTGGCAATGCAGGCCAACAAATTGCCAGATGCGAATCCCGCATGAGTCTCATGTACAAGATCGCAGCAATTGCCAACCGACACCACACGGGTGGCGCCATGATCGATTGGGATAGTGTGATCCGCGAGGCGACTCGCCCAGGCTCTCTCTTTCCTGGGGAGATCGATGGCTTAGTAAAATATTTGAAGGAGTTGTCTGGCGGCCTCGGCAACCCGATCTTTCTGAACGAGATTCGCGACTTCTCGCGGCAGCTGACCTCCCAGCGCGCGGTCGCGGGTTCAATGGCGAAGTCTCTCGCCGAGGCGCAGATCAAGCATGGGGGGGCCGCTGCGACACTCAAGCTCGCATGCATGAAGGCGATGACATGTGCGACGGGTAAGTTCGCGAGGGATGGCCATCATATGCCTTTGAAGCCAGGCGACGTGACCGCCTTGTCGAGCGATAAGAAGTCTACGATTGTAATGGTGGCCGATGAATTTCTTCAGAAAGCGCGACAGATCGCATGCGGTGAGGGCATCGCGGCAGACGCGGCCGCCTACGGCTCCATCGTGGGATTGACTGACGTTCGCGTAGTTCATTTCGTGTTCAACAAGCCCGATGAGCGCTTAGGCACTTGCAAGACGCTGAATGACATCGGGGTCAGCTTCACCACTGCGTTGGCAACGCACGTTGGCAAAGCAGTTGCTAGCCCATGGAAGCAGATCGGTCGCGAGAGCGCATCCAAAGCCGTGACAGGGCAGGCGCGTAGCTCAGATGTGAAAGAGCACACCGCTTCGGGCAAGTGGTCGAACCAAGTGGACAAGCTCAGTGACAAGGGGTTTGAGGTTGGCGCCAAGTCGCCTTGGCGAGCGACACCTTGGGTGAGAACATTTACGAGCTGATCTCCATCGACGCTGCGACTGGCGTGAAGTTGAAGCTTCAGGCCACGGGCAGTGCGACATGCCACCCCATCGACGACTTCTTACGTGGCAAGTTCGTCGTGTCCACGATTATGAAGGACAGTCTTGCGACCTCGTCGCAATGCATGTGGAATGCATATACACCCCCGCACCTTTGAATTCTCGTTCGTCGTTCCCTCATCTCATTTGGCTCTGCGTCTTCATGTCTCATCTTTTTTTCGCCGCTGCTCCCCCATAGAGGAAACGATCGACAAGTTCGCTGACCATGGCCCCCTCAAGTCGGTCGATTACCAGTGGGGTATCGAGGAGGCCAAAATCAGGCTGGCCTTGGATGATGTATACAGCCAGAACGGCAACTGTCTCAAGTACTTGAGTGGCGTGATTACGCCTGTTAAGCTTCGTGCTCTCACCGTAACGCGTTCGTTTGAGGCTGAAGAGCTGGTGCTTGTCCCACTCTCTTCGGCAATCTACTTGAAGAAGCAGACTGATATAGTTCAGTGTGGGCATGTGTTCATGAAGACATACAAGGACCCCAAGGGATTGACGTTCAATATCGTGTTGGCCCCCAGTGGTGGCATCAAGATGCCTAAGGCTGAGACGAACACTGGCGTTGGAGGGCTGAAGCAGGCACCGTCTTCGCTCGTCATCCCCTTCTGGCTCGCGCAGGATTCAGGTGAGCACGGCGCCCCCAACATGAAGCTCAAGACCGTCAAGTCTACAGCTGCCCATCAGTGTATGTACCAATTTTGACAAACAAGTGCGCCATCAACAAGGGCGATGTCCTTAGCGCCCAGCTGGCATCGCTCATGCCCAAGCGCAAGGTAGACGATGTGCCTGCTGCGCCCGCGGCTAAGAAGGCCAGGAAGCGATGAGGCTCGCGTGTTGGCAGCATCGGTTACACATACCATGTGTCGTGGGGGGTGTTTATGAAATGTATGAAAGCATCGTCGGTATCGTTCCTCTGCAATCGTTGCATCATTGCGTCAACACGCATCGGACTCGTCTGCAATTGTCCATTGCATCGGCCCGCAGGCGTTTGGCTGTGTCCAAGCGAGTGCACGCTGCATCTGCGCACGCACTGCAGCTGCAGATGGCAGCGAGCGTGCAGCTCCGCGCGGTCATCGAGGGGGGCGGCCTTGAGGATCGCGAGCCATGGGCCCCGAGGGCGGCGATGCATACGGCAGGGGGGCTCTTCGTGGAGCTGTCGAGAGCGGATGGGCAGCTGCAGAAATTTATATCTGCGCCCAACCCCACCAAGAGCCAATCGCCTCTGGCGACAAATTCGTTTTTCGATCAGATCTTGAAGACTAGGCTTACTTCTGGTGTGGTTTTCTGGTTTTGTCTTTTTCTCTGCGGCCCTGCTATCTTCGTCCACCTCCCTTCTCCTCTTCTCGACGGTGCTTTTTTGCTTCTGGGATGTTGCTGTACATTCAGCCTCTGATGGCTCTCTGCCGAGCATCGCCACGGAGTGCACGTGTTACTCGAGTGATGTTGTGGCCCCCGTGTCCGATTCGTCCCCTCTGCGTTCCTCCTTCTTCTCCCACCAGATGCGCTGAATGAAAAAAATGGCACGCTAGCGCCATGCTATGGCCATGCCTGCACCATATTCTTGAAGCTCGCGTATCCCCGCGGCCGTGCCGTTGCCATGCCCAGGCCGTGCCGTTGCCATGCCCAGGCCGTGCCGTTGCCATGCCCATGCCGTGCCGTTGCCATGGCCAGGCCGTGCCGTTGCCATGCCCAGGCCGTGCCGTTGCCATGCCCGTGCCGCGCCGTTGGCATGCCCAGGCCGTGCCGTTGCCATGCCCAGGCCGTGCCGTTGCCATGCCCAGGCCGTGCCGTTGCCATGCCCAGGCCGTGCCGCTGCCATGCCCAAGCCGTGCCGTTGCCACGCCCAGGCCGTGCCGTTGCCATGCCCAGGCCGTGCCGTTGCCATGCCCAGGCCGTGCCGTTGCCATGCCCAGGCCGTGCCGTTGCCATGCCCAGGCCGTGCCGTTGCCATGCCCAGGCCGTGCCGTTGCCATGCCCAGGCCGTGCCGTTGCCATGCCCAGGCCGTGCCGTTGCCATGCCCAGGCCGTGCCGTTGCCATGCCCAGGCCGTGCCGTTGCCATGCCCAGGCCGCCCGTTGCCATGCCAGGCCGTGCCGTTGCCATGCCCAGGCCGCGCCGTTGCCATGCCCAGGCCGTGCCGTTGCCATGCCCCAGGCCGTGCCGTTGCCATGCCCAGGCCGCGCCGTTGCCATGCCCAGGCCGTTGCCATGTTGCCATGCCCAGCATGCCTGGGCCGTGCCGTTGCCATGCCCAGGCCGAGCCGTTGCCATGCCCAGGCCGTGCCGTTGCCATGCCCAGGCCGTGCGTTGCCATGCCCAGGCCGTGCGTTGCCATGCCCATGCCCAGGCCGTGCCGTTGCCATGCCCAGGCCGTGCCGTGCCATGTTGCCATGCCCAGGCCGTTGCCATGCCCAGGCCGTTTGCCATGCCCAGGCCGTGCCGTTGCCATGCCCAGGCCGTGCCGTTGCCATGCCCAGGCAGCCGTTGCCATGCCCAGGCCGTGCCGTTGCCATGCCCAGGCCGTGCCGTTGCCATGCCCAGGCCGTGCCCGTTGCCATGCCCAGGCCGGGCCGTTGCCATGCCCAGGCCGTGCCGTCGCCGTGCCCAGGCCGTGCCGTTGCCATGCCCAGGCCGTGCCGTTGCCGTGCCCATGCCGCGCCGCTGCCATGCTCAGTCCGTGCCGTTGCCATGCCCAGGCCGTGCCGTTGCCATGCCCAGGCCGTGCCGTTGCCATGCCCAGGCCGCGCCGTCGCCATGCCCAGACTTTGCCGTTGCCATGCCCATGCCGCGCCGTTGGCATGCCCAGGCCGTGCCGTTGCCATGCCCTGGCCGTGCCGTTGTCATGCCCAGGCCGTGCCGTTGCCATGCCCAGGCCGTGCCGGTGCTCTCTTGGGAGCCTTGGGAGCCCTCTGGGTTGCTCCAGAGGGGGGGCGGTGGGGTGGTGGAGGGGGCTGGACCGGGGGGGGTCGAAGGGTTGCGGAGGGGCGGGCCATGCTATTGCCACGCAGCTGCCATGCCATTGACATGCGATTGCCTTGCAGCAACCATGTGATTGCCATGCAGTGGCCATGTCGTTGCCATGCTGTTGCCATGCTGTGGCCTCGATTTGCCCCCCCCTCGCGCATTTCCTGCCTCATACTCTCCTGGGACACGTAACAATACAAGTGTTTTGCGCCTCCAGGGCCACGAAAGCTGCTACTCGGTACAACCCTCACGCATTTCATGCCCCATACTCTCCTGGGGCGCGTGAGAACTATAGTGGTATGCGCTGTCAGGCCCCTGGGACTAGCAAAAATGCGAGCGATTCGAGCCTCCAGGCTCCTGGGAGCCGTAAACATATGAGTGATTGGTCCTTCCATTTTCCTGGGATCCTCGATTCTGCATACCCCTCACGCACTTCGTATATCATGGGCGCCCAGCTGGCCCCCAAGACGGCTCCTTGGAACCCCCATTCGGCACACCCCTCACGCATTTCGTGCCCCCGAAGACCTACAGGGGCGATCCGCTGACTAAAAACAAATAATTTCTGCCTATCTGGGCCCTCCCGGGAGTCCTCTTGGAACGCCCTTGGGGTTCTTTGGGCCTCTTGGGCCGTCTTGGAAGCCATCTTGGGCAGTAGAGACGCCTTGGATAGCGCCAGGGACGCGCCTGGGCCTCGACAGAGCCTCGGAAAGAGGGGGCGATGCGCGCGCCTCTACGCGAGTAGGGGGGGGGGATGGCCCCTCCCTGCCAGACAACACTTGGCATTATAGTACGCCTCAACGTGCCAGGGCGCACGGTGGCGGATTTTGCAAACATTGCCCTGGCTCGTGACAGCGGCACGCCACGCCGCAATGTTGCGTCGCGGGCGGGACCCTCTCGCTACACAAGGGGGGGGGCGGGGCCCTGCCCCAGGAGGTCCTCCCATATCTTGTCGTCCATGAACGAATTGTTCAGGGGAGGTGTCGACGACGACGACCACGACCACGACCACGACCACGACCACGACCACGACCACGACCACGACCACGACCACGACCACGACGACGACCACGACCACGACCACGACCACGACCACGACGACGACGACGACCACGACCACGACCACGACCACGACCACGACCACGACCACGACCACGACCACGACCACGACCACGACCACGACCACGACCACGACTACGACCACGACCACGACCACGACCACGATCACGACCACGACCACGACGACGACCACGACCACGACCACGACGACGACGACGACGACCACGACCACGACCACGACCACGACCACGACCACGACCACGACGACGACGACGACGACGACGACGACGACGACGACGACGGCGGCCGTCTCTGCTCGAGCACCGCAGGGGGCGACGGGGCGAGGGGCTGCCATGGAGGTGTCCCCCTTCGTGGCGACGAGGCGCATGCGGACGCTCGGCGGCGGGAGCTTCGGGAGCGCGCTTCTGGCGCGGGATCCCGGCGGCGCCGATGTGGCGCTGAAGGTGGCCAGGGCGGGCTCGAGGCAGGACATCCTGTGGGAGGCAGCTTGCCTGCGCACAGTGGCGCACGCCGACGTCCTCAGGCTCATCGACGCCCGTGCCTCGACGCCGGGCGGGGAGCACGACCCCGACGACCTGCCAGTCCTCGTGTTCCCGCCGGCGGACCTGGACCTCCAGACCTTCCTCGGCAGGAGGCCCGGCGGCGCCCTGCCGCCCGAGCTGGCTCGCAGGATGATGCGGCAGCTCGCAGCTGCCCTGGCTCACGTCCATGCGCACAACATCATCCACCGAGACGTGAAGCCAGAGAACTGCCTGATCTTCTTGGCTAGCGAGATCCACGGGGAGTTCTTGGGGCCTTCGTTGGCGCTGGCGGATTTTGGCATGGCTCGGCGTTGGTCTGGGGACCTGCGCCTGCGCCTCCGCCAGAAATCCCGCGTGCCTCGATGCCGCGAGGAGCCCATGACAGCACTGGCGTGCACCTCCCGGTACAGGCCTCCAGAGCTCTGGGCGGCAACCATGGGCGACCTCGAGATGGACCAGGAGTACGAGGAGACGACGCCCTACGGCCCCAGCCTGGACGTCTGGTCGCCCGGGGCCGTCGTCTACCAGGTGAGCGACGTGAAAAAACGGGGTCGCGGGCGCCGACATTCGCGCGTAAGCCGTCCGCGTAAGACCGCGCGTAAGCGCCTCTTCTTCCCCGCGGCGCGCCGCGGTGGCGGCCCGCGTAAGCCGCCGCGTAAGGTCGCCACGTCGTCGCGCGCAAGCCCCGTTTTCTTTCGTCGCTCAGGCGCCGTCAGGGGAGACTCTCGTTCGTCCAGCGGGGAGCGGCGCAGAGATGGCGCGGGCAGTGGCAGACGTCATCGGCGCGGCCCCGGCGACGGGCCCTGCTGCCCTGACGTACACTCGGAACCCGCAGTGGCAGAGCTGGGCGCCTGCAGCGATGTCAGCTGTCCCGAGCAGGCCGCTGCCCGAGTCAGGTGCTGAGTGGGATTTGGTGCGGACGTGCCTCCGATGGGACCCCCCCGCTCGCGTGGCGATGTCGTCCGGGATGCTGCGCGCGTGGTTCGGGCGGCGAGTCGCTACTCCACAGGCGGCACCGACGCCCCAGCCAAAACCGCGCGCTGATGCCTCGACGCTCAGTTCGACGCCGACAGCCCAGACACCCGCGGAGATCGCGCGCGCGTGGTTCGAGCCTGACCTCTCGCCTCCTCAGACGTTCACTTCGGAGGTCAAGTGCCGTTGCAAGGGGCATTGCCGCGTGCACAGCCATCGCAAGAGTGGCGAGTGCAACTGCACCGAGCTCGTCGTCGGCACCGGCTACTGCGCTACGCGCGTGCGCGTCGTCGCGGGGCGCGGTCGCCCCAGGCTCAAGACCGACTACTGCAGCCACCACAAGAGGGTGTTGGAGGCGGCTCCTCTCCGCGTGCAGCTGGCCGCGGCTGCAGTTCCAGTCGCGCCCCTGATGATGCCGTGCGACGTCGAGGATTTCGTCGCCACCAGCGTCATCCTTCAAGACGACGTCGCTATGCTCATCCTGGCTGCTGCTATCCAGTTGCCTGCGGCAACCCCCGCCGCCGTGCTTGCGCGACAGCTCTGCAGGAAGAAGAGCATGTGTGGGAACAACGCAGTTCCGACCACTGGTCTGAACTGCGACTTGTCGTGAACTCGACCTCGTCTTCGCTGGCGCGGTAGGGGGAGGTCGTGCTCGCGCCCCGCTGCAGTCCAGCGAGCGGTCTGAACTGAGGCGGGTCGCGAACTCGACCTCATCTCATTTTAGTCCGCGCAGTAAGGAAAAAAAGGAGGAGGAGACGAAGAGGAGGAGGAGGAGGTGGAGGAGGAGGAGGAGGAGGAGGAGGAGGAGGAGGAGGGGGGGAGGTGGAGGAGGAGGAGGAGGAGGAGGAGGGGGAGGGGGGAGGAGGAGGAGGGAGGAGGAGGAGGAGGAGGAGGAGGAGGGGGAGGAGGAGGAAGAGGAGGAGGAGGAGGAGGAGGAGGAGGAGGAGGAGGAGGAGGGGGATAATAACGAGGAAAAGGCCTCTTGGGGGCTCTCGTGGGGCCCTCCTGAGGCTTCCGGGGAGTCTCTTGAGGGCCTCCTGGGGGCCTCTTGGGGGCCTTCTGGGCGCCTGCTGAGCGCCTCCTGGGAGCCTGTCGGGAGCCTCCTGGGGCCTCTCGAATGCCTCTTGGAGCTTTTTGGGCCGTCTTAGGGCGGCTCTTGGCCCATCTGACGCCTTCGGAGGCCGTCTTCGAAGCCTGTGCGGGCCGTCTAGCTGCCCCCTTGGAACGTTTTTGGGCCGTCTTGGGACCCTCTGGATTGGGCGATTTTGGGGTCGTCTTGGGCTGACGTTGGCCCCCCCTGGGGGCATCAATGGCTGTCTGGGCGCTATCCTGGAGGCCGTTCGGACCGTCTTGGGCGGTCGGAAACCCAAACAAGCGGAAACTAAACAAGCGGAAGCTTCAAAATCCTTCAAAAGGTTATGGGGAATCACGTTTGTCTGCCCCTAAGGGCTCTTGTGGAGGGGCTGGTGGAGCTATCTCTGCCCGCCTTGAGGCCTCTCGGGCCTTCTCGAGAGCCGCTCGAGCCGGACTCGGCCATCTGGAGCCGTTTTGGTGCCGTCTTGGCTTTCTGGGGAGCCCTTTTGGACGCCATCTTCGCCGTTTGGGAGCCGAAAAGACCGCCCAAGGGCGATCTGGGGGTCCTCTTGGGCCGATTTGGGGCCGTCTTGGCAGCCCCATGGGTTGTCTTGGGGCATCTGGGAGGCCTCTCGGGCCGTCTTCGGCGGTCGGACACCCCAACAGGCGAGAACCTCGAAATCCGTTAAAAACTTCACGGGAGTCATTGTTTTTTGTCTCTCGGGGCTCTCCTGGAGCGTCTCTTGGGGCCTCCCGGGGATTCCTGGGGTATCTTGGGCGGTCTTTGGAAACCGTCTTGGGCGCCTCTCTCGGCCGTCTTGGTGCCCTCCGGGAGCGTTTTCGGGCCATCTTGGGGCCCTCTCGGGGGCCTCTTGGGCGATCTTGGGTTCGTTTTGGGCCGACTCGGGGACTTCTTGGCAGCCTCGCGGGCTGTCTCGGCGCTATCAGGGAGGCCGTGCGGACCGTCGCGGGAGGTTGGACTCCTAAACAAGTTAACGCTTCGACGTCCTTAAATAATTTTCTGACTACATGTTTTTCTGCCCCTGATAGATCTCTTGGAGGGGTTCTTGGAGCTCGCTCGGGCTGCCTTGAGGCCTCTCGGGCCGTATTGAGGCCATCTTGAGGGCCGCTGGAGCCGTCTTCGGCCATCTGGAACCGTTTGGGTGTTGCGTTGGCTGTCTTGGAGGCCCTTGCGCACGCAGTCTTCGCCGTCTGGAAACCGAACAGAGCGCCAGGGAGCGATTTCAGGGATACCGATTTTCAACATACGCGCGCGATGAGGGGGGGGGGGTCGGCCCTAGAAACTTATATATATATATATATATATATATTATATATATAATATATATAAAAATCCCGACCTTCCCCCCGGCGCACTCTTCCACGCCCACTCCGTGCACGCACGGTGGCGGATCAAGGAGCCCTTGGCCGTGGGAGCGCTGGTGGAGGCTTGGAAGCAGCTGCCCGCGCAATACTCGGGCTCAGATTTGCGCTCGGCAATCTTGCGCGCACTCGCGGTGGCGGACGGAGCCCCCCATGCTGCGCAGTTGACCCAGCTGCATCGCCAAGGGGTGCAGCGGTTCTTCGGCCTCATTACCACTGCCTCGAACTTAGGGGTCATCCAGAGGGCGAAGACGACGGGCGACGCCCTCCCCGAGCAGCAGTCGTACCGCCTCGGCTCGACCAAGACCTTGCACGTCGTGCGCGATCCCTCGGGGAGCCTGTGCGACAAGCTCCTGGAGGCCACTCGCGAGGAGCTGTCCTTGGCAGCGCCCCCGGACGCAGGCGCCTCGAAACCCAGCGCCCTCGACGCAGGTGCCTCGGCGCCCTGTGCCCTCGACGACCTCGTCGACTACGGATCTCAGCGGGCGAAGGCGGCGTTGCGGCGCATCGGCACAAAGAGCGGCGCGTTGCCATTCCACGCTGAGGACGCCAGCGGGCACTGCATCGACCGGCTGACGAGGAAGATGGTTGCCGCCCGCCTCATCCGGCAGAACCTGCACCGGAGCGACGGCTGGAGCCGCGTGGACAAGGCCTCGCTGCACAGCATAAGTGCGGACTCGAAGGAGAACCTGGAGAGTGTTCCCGGCGCGTGGACGGCCACCCGGATTTCGTTTTTTTTTTTCACTGGTCGCGCGGACTGGGGTCTGTTCGCCAGCGCGTTTCTTTGCTTCTGGGGGGAGGTCGCGGATGAGCTGATCAAGAGAGGGGCCAGCGATTACGACCGCGCCCAAGCGATCCAGCTCATCAAGTCTGACACTTTCTTGCAGGTCGTGCGGGACTTCCGGCGGACCGAGGGCATCGCCCCCCATCCTATGGTCGCCTACAAGCTCGCGAAGGAGCAATCTGAGAAGCTCGCCCTCGCCTGCGAACTCGCCTTGGAGTCACCGCGTGCCTCGATGCCGCGGAAAAATTGAAAGCCTAGAGCGCCCGCGCGGCCTGTGACATGGCGATTCTGATGCGCGCCGCGGAGCGGGGTCCGTGGACAGGCGCAGGGGGTCGATTCGCCAGCCGTCACGAGGCCAAAAAAAAACATGTCGCTCCTCCTCCTGCCCCCCTCCTTCTCCCTTCCTTTTTCCCTCCCGCCCTGGCCGTGCCAGGCCGTGAGATTGCCATGCCCGGGCCGTGCCGTTGCCATGCCCAGGCCGTGCCGTTGCCATGCCCAGGCCGTGCCGTTGCCATGCCCAGGCCGTGCCGTTGCCACGCCCAGGCCGTGCCGTTGCCATGCCCAGGCCGTGCCGTTGCCGTGCCCAGGCCGTGCCGTTGCCATGCCCAGGCCGTGCCGTTGCCATGCCCAGGCCGTGCCGTTGCCATGCCCAGGCCGTGCCGTTGCCGCGCCCAGGCCGTGCCGTTGCCATGCCCAGGCCGCGCCGTGGCCATGCCCAGGCCGCGCCGTTGCCATGCCCAGGCCGCGCCGTTGCCATGCCCAGGCCGCGCCGTTGCCATGCCCAGGCCGTGCCGTTGCCATGCCCAGGCCGTGCCGTTGCCATGCCCAGTCCGCGCCGTTGCCGTGCCCAGGCCGTGCCGTTGCCGTGCCCAGGCCGTGCCGTTGCCATGTCCAGGCCGTGCCGTGGCCATGCCCAGGCCGCGCCGTTGCCGTGCCCAGGCTGTGCCGTTGCCATGCCCAGGCCGTGCCGTTGCCATGCCCAGGCCGCGCCGTTGCCATGCCCAGGCCGCGCCGTTGCCATGCCCAGGCCGCGCCGTTGCCATGCCCAGGCCGTGCCGTTGCCATGCTCGGCCGCGCCGTTGCCATGCCCAGGCCGCGCCGTGGCCATGCCCAGGCCGCGCCGTCGCCATGCCCAGGCCGTCCCGTTGCCATGCCCAGGAGGCGCCGTTGCCATGCCCCGACCGTGCCGTTGCCATGCCCAGGCCGAGTCGTTGCCATGCCCTGGTCGCGCCGTTGCCATGCCCAGGCCGTCCCGTTGCCATGCCCAGGCCGCGCCGTTGCCGTGCCCAGGCCGTGATGTTGGCACGCCCAGGCCGTGCCGTGGCCATGCCCAGGCCGCGCCTTCTACCACGCCCAGGCCGTGCCGTTGCCATGCCCAGGCCGTGCCGTTGCCATGCCCAGGCCGTGCCGTTGCCGTGCCAAGGCCGAGCCGTTGCCACGCCCAGGCCGCGCCGTTTCCACGCTCGGGCCGTGCCGTTGCCACGCCCAGGCCGTGCCGTTCCCTCGCCCAGGCCGTGCCGTTGCCATGCCCAGGCCGTGCCGTGGCCATGCCCAGGATCGAAGAATCCAAGAAGGCACAAAACCTGGGACTTCGAGGATCGAAAGGGAGGGGGGGGGAGGGGGATGGGGGAGAGGGAGGGGGAGGGGGAGGGAGAGGAGGAGGAGGAGGAGGAGGAGGAGGAGGAGGAGGAGGACGAGGACGAGGACGAGGACGAGGAGGACGAGGAGGACGAGGAGGACGAGGAGGACGAGGAGGACGAAGAGGAGGAGGACGAGGAGGAGGAGGAGGAGGAGGAGGAGGAGGAGGTGGAGGGGATCCCGTCCCCTCCGTGTTGGACGGAGCTAGGTTGGAATACTTTCTTAGTGGACACGCTGCAGAAGCTTGATCTATCCAAGCTATTGGAATTCTGCCTGATAAAAGATGCTACTTCGGGTGCCCATTGGAAGGAGGAGGAGGAGGAGACTAAAACAGAGGCCGAACTGCAACGTGAAAGTGAACGTCGTGCTAAACGGTCAGTTGCGCTCTCCCAGGACGAAACCAACTGGAGGATGAACCCTGGGTGGCTGGCTCTAGAAATGAGGGGATATAGTCAGTGTATCACACGTTGGCTGACGGGTAAAAACAGATGTATGAATGATATATACAGTAAAACCATCGCCGATATGCAAAATAAATTGCACGCCGTGTGTAAGCAGCTCCAGATCTATAGTCCTGAAGCGGGCCGTGATATTTGGAAATGGGTTTATCGGGAGGGGAACACTGAGGCGGACCATGAGACGCATGTGGCCAGAGAAGGACAGACTACTTCAGATGTGCGGTGGGCTCTCAGTACACTTTTTTCTATTCGTTCGAATCAACATAGTGTACACGCGGTGATAGGCTCTTTTGATGGTGGCAGATGTGAGTTAGGCACATCTTGTGGCTGGGCGATTGACATGTTTATCTCTTCTAATTTGCCTTTTTCCTCCCTCCCCCCTGGCCTCCCCTCTAATCGTTGGCAGCTCGGTGTAGCCAAGCGGGCGTTTATGCTCCCTTCCCATTGTACAATCACCCAGGCGGAACTTGCTGCATCTCAGAGTTTATGGTCGGGACTTGTTGATTTGTGCACACATATATGTGGATAGCACATTTCTTTTACAGCTTCGCTGCATAATCTTCCCGTCGGCGTCGCCGTCGTCGTCGTCGTCGTCGTCGTCGTCGTCGTCGTCGCGTGCCCCGGGGCCGGAGACCCGCCCCAAAGGGCCTGTCTCGGCCCGACCTGTGCGAGTGGACTTGTCCCCAGGGCCCCTCGCGTTGTCGTCGTCGTCGTCGTCGTCGTCGTCGTCATCGTCGTCGTCGTCGTCGTCGTCGTCGCCGTCGTCGTCGTCGTCGTCGTCGTCGTCGTCGTCGTCGGCCTCGTCGTCGTCGTCGTCGTCGTCTCCGTCGTCGTCGTCGCCGTCGTCGTCGTCTTCGTCGTCGTCGTCGTCGTCGTCGTCCTCGTCGTCCTCGTCGTCCTCGTCGCCGTGGTCGTGGTCGTCGTCGTCGTCGTCGTCGTCGTCGTCGTGCTGCTGTCATGCAGTCGCCATGCCGCTGCCGTGTTGTTCCCGGCAGCTGCCGTGCGACTTCCTTGCGGTGGCCATGTTGCTGCCGTGCTGTTCTCGTGCAGTCGCCGTTCGGGGTCGACCTGGCGACGGCGAGGGCGGTCGAGGGCCCGGGGGGGGCGCTCGGGCGGGGGTCTTCGCCGCCCATGGCGCCATGGATCTCGCGAGCGGAGCGGGAAAGAAAACAACCACAGGAGGCGCGACAGGCAACTTCTCTGCGTTCGAGCTCGGGCAATCTCTCGCGAAGTCTGGAGAGTGCGATCCCATCTGGTGCCTCGTCTTCTGCCCCGAAGCGACGGCGGCTGAGCAACCAGGTCGCCCCCGCGGCCGGTGTCTCGACGCCCGGGCCGAAGCGACGTCGGGCGAGCGGAGATGTCCAGAGCGCAGGTGCTGCGGCGCCACCTCCTTTTCCTCCGGCTCATCCTCAGCCCCGACCAGTGCGACGGCGGCTGCGCGACCCCGGCGAGAGCATCGAAGACCTCGTCGGGCCAGCGACGGAAAGTCGGGAGGCGCATCTCCTCCGCCGCGGAGGGGGGCGGCGGACGTGCCCACGGTGCAGGTACTACACGATCGGCAGCCAGTGGACCGCCACGTATGGATCGTGCACGGCGCACACAGGCCCTCGTCGTCGCGTCGCTTGGTTGGCAGAGCGGCCTGCGCGGCAGGGCGGACCGTGGGTTCTTGGGTGCACCTTCTGCGCCGCGCACGAGAGTCGGTCGACAAGCGATCGCAGGCGGGACCCGACCACTCGTCGACGAGGAGGGTTCGGCGCCTTCTCCGTGCGGCATAGGTCCCTACAGGCCGAGAACATCAGGTTCCACGAGAAGTCTTTAGGGCACAAGTTTGCTGAGGCGCCCTGGTTTAGGCCAGACGAGCCCACGTGCATAGCGCTGCAGGCGTCCTTGGAGGACGACAGGCTCTTGAGCGGCAGCGTGCCGCAACCCCGGGACTGGCTGCGAGCATGGCGGATGTCCCGAGATCCTCGGTCGTGGCTGGCGGCAGAGCGCGACGACGTCACGTCCAACTTCATCTGCCAGATTCGCCCCATGGCCGCGCAGCGGAGAAGCTGGAAGGCTCTATGCGTCACCATGGCGGACGCGTTGCGCCAGAGGAAGATGCAAGCTCTGCGGGTTGCCACGGTCGTCTCCATAGCCTTCGACGACAAGGCTTCCAGGAAGCTCCTGATGTTCAAGTGCGATACGCCTGGGCTCCCGAGCGCGTCGTGCCTCGACGCCGACAAGACGGTCCTGCTTTACGGCGCTCGGCTCGCCATGATCGGGTGCGTGCCTCCTGACCTCCCGAAGATGCACGAGTACGATGGCGACTGCGCCCAGAGGGCGGCGGCCGCCGTCGTCAAGCTGTTCGAGAGGCTGCGCTCTCGAAGGGGCCAGGTGGACGGGGACCTCCTGGAGTCTTTGCTCCTGAAGGTCAGGGTCGCTTGCGTGGGCGGTGCGCTCCTCAAGGCGGCGAACTTTCTGCGAAGCACGAGGGCGCCGAACATTGTCCTCATACTGCGCGACCCAGCGCGCGTCATCAGGACGACCACGGCTAAACGCCTGCATGCCGCCGACCGTTTCGACGAGCAGTACTCGCGGTTGTTCTCGAGCAGGCACGCGGTCCTCAAAGACTTCATGAACTCCCAAGTCTGGCAGGACCAGCTACAGGCGTGCCAGGCGGACATCCTAGAGAGCGGCGGCAGTCTGGGAGGAGGCGTCAAGAGCGTTCTCCGCAACGTGGCTTTCGTCCAGCCTCGCTTCGAAAGCGAAGCCACCCCCCGCCGCAGGTACGTCTGCTTGCTCCGCGCGATCGCCCAGGTCTTGATGGCGAAGGCGCACGACATGAGGTTGGCATCTGCGGTGCGCGCGCGCGCGCCCCAGGATGCCTTGGCAGCCATGGAGAAGAGGTCCGACGCGTTCATGGCCGGATTGGCAGGAGACTACGGCGAGGCATGCGTGGAGTTCCTCCGCGTGTTCGACGTCGACGACCACGACGTAGCCCGCGCGTGCCCGGAGCAGACGGGCTTCCTCAAGTTTCTGGACGAGATGTTCGCCCAGGGCCGCGTCCTCGACGACGCGCGGCCTGGGGGCGAGGCCGCGCGCAACGAGGGCAGTCGCAAGACTCTCGCCAGGATCGCGCTCGAGGAGGTTGAGGACGAGTACACCGTCAGCTATGGCATCCACTCGCGCAAGCTCTGGGCACATGCAGGCGGGGTCGCCTTCGCGAAAGAGCGCGGGGCAATACTCGGGTCGCTCGGCGAGGCGGTGAGAGACATCCCAGACCGCATGGCAGCGGAGATCGGGCGAGAAGATCTCCAGGCTGCTTTCGTCGCCTTCGACCTCAGTGCATGGAGGTGCGCGATCCGCAGGGCCCAGGGCGACCCCGTCGATGCCTCGATGCTCGACGCCCGCTTCTCCCTTGCCGAGCTACGCGCGGCAGCCGAGCGGCTGTTCAAGGCGTTCCTCGGCATCGACGGCGAAGGAGTGGGCCCTGAGTGGGCGCGCATGGCGCGACTCGCTCTGCAGCAGCGAGCTCGCATGAGGATCGGGCCCCGCCGCGCGCCTTCGGAATGCGCGCGCGCGGCTGCCTGGGACGTCGTGGAGCCGCTTCCACTCGACAACAGGATGGTCTGGCGACTCTTGCTGGACGGAGGCGGCGTCCCCGACAGGCTGCGGCCAGCGGTGCTCGCGTACTTCGGCACCCTCGACGGCGCGGGGAGCGCGGAGCGCGGGCTGGGGCGCGACAAGCGGGTTGTCGTGGAGCCCCACGTCGGAAGTCTGAGGCCCTCGGCAGATAGGGCGGCCCCAGGCGCGAGGGAGATCTTTTCGCCCGCTGTGCCGACCAGCACGTTCTGCTCCTCACAGAGTTCTCGCGAGCCTGCACGACGCTGCGGCTGGAGACGCACGGGCGTAGGTTCGGCGCGAATTCCCAGGTCCGGAAGAACAAGGGCTGCGAGAAAAATGCGCGTCTAGGCCAGCAGACGGACGCCGCTCTTCGACGAGGGCTGCGGTCCTGCTACGCCGAGATTGCCAAGGAAGCAAACGCTTCCAGCAGCGCCCCTGGAGACGCGCTTCGGCCCAACATACTGGGGGAGCCTCGGAGGGACACCCTGAAGAAGATCGGGAGGGCGCAGGAGCAATCGACTGTCACCAAGGGGGCCGAGAGATATCGCCAGCTCACCGAGACGAAGTTCCGCGAGAAAACGAGGCGCAGGGCCGCGGCTGGAGTTTGGGCTGGCTGGGCCCTCGATCGGCCTGCGATGAGACTTGGCGGCGCCGGCGCCGTGCATGCGGCCTCCAGGTGCGCCGCTGAGCACGCCGCGCAGGCGAGGAAATGGTTGGAGCGCGCTCGCGCCCCAAGAGGGTCGGCGAAGGGCATGCAGGTGCCTCGACGCCCCGCGGCCCCGTGCGGGGTGGCGACGGCCGTCAGCGCGGGGAGCGCGGCGCCCGGGCCTGCCGCGCGCCCGGCGTCGCGGTCGAACACCGCGATTACCCTGCCCTCCTTGAGCACGATGAGGTCGGAGGCCGCTCTCGCCGTGAAGAGCAAGTTGCAGGGTGGCCCCCGCGCGGATGATCTCCGCAAGTGGGTCGTCGCAGTCGCCTACGGGAAGCCTGTCCTGGTGGATGGCGGCGTCGGGATGGTCGAGCGTTTCCGCTGTCCGCCTGCCGTCGGCCGCGCGCAGGACGTGCAGTTCACGCAGAACTTTGCCAGGGCCCACCCCGAACTCACGAAGATCACTTCGGCTATCGCGGGGAGCGATGGGTCGTCATGGCGCGTGCGGCCCGTGGGCGCTGCAAGCCGCCGCGCGTGGGTGATCGACTCCTCTGCGACATTCGCCCGCGTGCTCCGCTCCATGATCGCCAGGGCCTGAGGCCGCGCGCGGGGCGGTCGCCGTGCGCCTCGACGCGGCAGGGTGGCCGCCCTGCACTGCCGCGCCGCCGGCTGCGCGCTGCGTGCCTCGACGCCGCAGGGGCGCGGAGGACTTCGGGGGGGCGGTCGGGGGCGGGCACGCCCGCGGGGAGGGCGCCTGCAGACGACCAGGGGCGGCCAGCAGGAACGCAAGGGGGAAAAAAATGACGATGGGCGCATCCACGCCAGCCCATCCAGAAACGCATGCCAGGTAAGTTGGTTGATCAGGGGCGCCTGGAAGTACGCGGTCGCACAGCCATCTTGGAAGCGCAGATACAGTCACAGAAAACACTGATCACAGAAAACATTGATACAATGGGCGGGCAGCACCCTCGGCCAGAAAACAATGATCACATATATCTTCGCGCAGGGCAGTGTAGGAAAGAAATCAGTGCAAGATGCGCCATGGTGTTCCCTGTGGTAACCGCCCCCGGCGCAGGTCGCTGCATCTCTGATTCGACGCCCGTGTGGCGCATAGTAGTCGCATCCCGATGGACATCCTGGATCTTATCCCACTGATGTGTATACTCGCGGGCGTTCCAAATTCGCTCAGGTGCTGGCGCTGGTGCTGGTGCTGGCGCTGGTGCTGCTGGTGCTTCTGCTGCTGCTGCTTCTGCTGCTGCTGCTTCTGCTGATGCTGTTATTAGCGTTGCTGGTGCTAGTGCTGCTGCTGCTGCTGCTGCTGGCGGTGGTGGTGGTGTTGCTGTTTGTGCTGCTGCTTGTGGACCCTCTGCTGGCGGCGGCTATGCCGATGGGGAAGTCTTGGGGGTTGGAGGAGGGCGAGGAAAACGAGGATGACACACAAAACAGAAGGAGGAGGGGGAGGATGAGGAGCAGAAGTGCGGCGCGAAGAGGATGAAGAGGAGGAGGGAGGAGGCGGGGCGGGAGGAAGGAAGGAACGGATGCTGATACGGAGCTGCACAGGTTGGTAGTTGAGGGCACGTTGTGGCGATGTTCTTTTTCCCGAGGACTCGTGCGGCAGTCTTGGAGTCTTCTTGGGGCCCTATGGGGCCCTTCTTGGGGGCCTATGGGGGCTCTCTCGGGGGGGTCTTCGAGCACTCTTGGGGATCTTCGGGGGGAGGGGGGGTGTCTGGAAGGCTGATTGGGGCTGTCTTGGGCCCCATTGTTCGATAATAGGGGGAGTTGGAAGACCGTCGCTCGCTCGGAGGCCCCCTGTTGCCGTCTTGGGCCCCTCTGGGGCCCTCTGGGGCCCCTGGGGGGGCTCTCGGGTGCAGTGCCGGGGAAATTTTGAGGCCTCGAAGAGCCCATCCGAGCCGAAACTGCGAGTGGCCACGCAGTCTCCTCGCAGCATGTTCGCAGATTCCTCGCCGATGCTATCTTGCCACCGTCCGCGCTCACGCAGTTGCCGCGCGGTTGCCCAGCTGTCGCCGCGCGGCCGCCGCGCCGTTCACTACGTCCACCGAGATTCCCAGCATTCCGCGACGTACCGTCGAGCACTTCCTGCGCGACCCTGTCTGCCTAGCATGCGCGACCCCCGACATCTTGCGAGAACTACATTCTGCCGCGCAGGAGCTGTGCTACCGCCATGCAGGGTCCGAGCAGTCGCCATGAACATGCCGCGCCGCTGCCGTTATGAGCCGCGTCGTTGCCGCGCAGCTGCCGCGCATTTGCCGCGCCCATCGCTCGGTTCGCAGCGGCCGTTCTGTATCCAAGCCCCGCCCAGAGCCCCGCGACGACCGCCGCGGCGACTCTTGCCCCCCCATGGCGAAGCGCGGCGGGACTCCTGGCCGCTCCTCGCTTGGGGGCGCGCCGCCCGCCAAGGTCGCCAAGGCCGCCGCGCCCGCCGGTGCGTCGACGCCCGGCCCGAAGGGCAGTCGCCCCGAGAAGCCTTCAGCGCCCGCCGCCCAGATTCCGAGGCAGGTGCCTCCAGGCGCCCCTGCGGTTGTCGAGGCGCCGCCGCTGCCGGAACTCCCCGTCGGGGCGGGGGCGGCCAATTGCAGCGAGGAGAAGACTCAGACCTTGATGCGAGCCGTCGTCGCTTACAACAGGTACCACGTTCGGCGGGTCCCGAGGGGGGACTCGAGGTGGTTCACGGGATGGCTGGACCGGCCTGTGCACGAGCGCCAGCCCATCGCGATCAGGAGGCCCGACTCCGAACACGACCTGCTCACCTACTTCAGCCCGTGGAAGAGGGCAGAGGCCATCATCTCGTTCAACGGAACGGGCACTTACAAAGGGGGCGGCAACGTGTTCTGGTTGGACCCTTTCGTGGGGTCGTCTGGGAAGATGCGCCCCGTTGCAGGGGGCCCGCCGCTCTACCCAGCGTGCCTCGACGCCGCTGAGCAGCACGCCCTGGGCAGGATCCTGCAGAAAGGGCTCGCTCGGGGGGCGGCGAGCGCAGCGCACGAGGCCAGGATCAAGTTCTCCCACGTCTTCACCACATTCAGCTGGGACCTGGGCTCGTACGACGCAGACCACTTCGACTCCTCTTTGCCGCTGGTGTGTGGGCACGTGGCCTTGTGGGGCTTCCATATCGCTTTGCTGCAAGCCCTCGGTCGCGGTGACGCGGCTTCTGTGGCGGTGTTGGTCCAGGCATCCCTCTGCGCGCCCATCGAGGGCGTCATCGTGGAGTCTGAGGAGAGGCTCTCCATGCTCTCCATGGCCACGTGCGACGGCGCCCGCAAAACGCACGCTTACCTGAAGAATTCCTTCCCCGCGTTCGCTCGCAAGCTCATGGTGGCCCTGGGCGACTGCCCGCCTGAAGGGGCAGCAGCCAGGCTCGCATTCTGCGCCCAGGAAGGCATCCGCTACAACGGCACCGCCGCGCACAGGAGCATGCTCTGCGCGGCGCAGAACTGCCGCGAGAGGCTCGACGACAGGGCGCTCCGCACCCTGCGCTACATAGAGAGCAGGAGAGGCTCGAGAAAGAGCGACCTCACCTCGAACTTCACCACCCTGAACCGCATCCTGCAGTTCTGCGCGACGGAGGTCCGCAAGGGAAATGCCGCCATGTGGGGCGCCGTGACGGCCGCCGATCTCGCCGACCACGTCGTGGACTACATCGCCTGGGCCCTCGACCACGACCTGGTCGAAGGAGATGGGGTGACAGCCTCGTGGCTGGCTGGCTCAGACCGCGTGGAAGCTAAGGATCGCCGCCACGCAGGGGCGATGAGGATGGCGCTGGCAAAGATCTACGTGCGCGTCTTCATTCACTCCCTGGCGCAGGACCTCCCGGACTCCAGTGGCGCCAAGCAGGACTGCCTGCGCGTCTTGCCCCACTTCTCTGGCTACGCTGTCTTCGGCGGGACCTGCGGGGCCGCGGCCGCGGGCGCCCCGCCGCCAGCGGCCGACGAGGGGGGCGAGGAGACCGGAACGGCAGGCCAGAGAGGGCTGGAGGACGACGACCCCCTCGCGAAGATGAAGACGCATACCGCAGGGGGAGCCGCGCAGCTCCTCCAGTTCTTCTTCGACCTGTTCAGCCAGAGATTCGACGAAAGCCTCCGCGAGTTCCTCGCCGCAGACGCCCGCGTGCATCAGCCCGTGTGCCAGGTCAAATGGGAGGAGTGGTCGCAAGCAGACTTCGTGGAGATCAGGAAGGCGCTGGGCCTGCGCAGAATCGCAGTGCCAGCCTGCGAGGGCTCTGGCGCGCCCGCTGCCTCGACGCGCGGGCTGAGGCGGAGCCTCTCAGCGGCAGGCGACGACGGGCCGGACGACGAGGACGTCAACGACCGCGAGAAGGAGATCGCCCAGGAGCGCGCGGAGGCGTGGAACCAGGCGCAGGCGCTCCGCAGCAAGCGGCTGACGCCATCGTTCATGAAGGCCGACAGGATGTCCAAGGATAACCTCGACAAGTGGTGGGAGACGCAGACGGCAGCGCTCCAGTTCCAGGGGGGGCCCGGCAAGTCGCATCGCGTCTTCGTGTTGTCGGGGGAGAGGTGGACCTACGAGACGGGCGCGGCTCCGTGGGCGGAAGAGCCCCCGTCGCCAGACACCTTGCGCGTGGTATTGGAGTGGCTCTTGGATCGGCAGGACCCCTGCGACGCGCTCCTCGTCTTCGACGGCCGATCCTCCTCGATCCGCGCGACCATGCAGGAGGTGATGAGGAAAGCTCGCAACGTCAGCGACATCTGGATCGTCTACCAGCCGAAGAGGGAGGCTGGAGGGCGCAGGGTCGTCTTCGGGTCCAGGAACCGCGAGGTCGGGTGGGTCAGCTTCCCCGCCCCCCGCGCCGACGTCCCGGCGCAGGAGCGCAAGGCCGCGCGCTCCGCAGGCAACGAGTGGGGGTCGACCACCTTCTCGTCGACGTTCTCGAGTATGGCCCCCACGGCGTGGGGGCAGTTGCCCTGCATCGCTCTCGCCGACAAGGCGAAGATCATCGGGGCCAGGGCGCCCGTGCCCCCGAGCAAGGTTTTCGACTCGGACCTCGGTTGCCCGTTGTGCTGGCAGGAGGTGAAGTCGAAAGACCTCTGGAGCGCCCTGCTCTTGGCCACAAAGGCAGATTTCGTGGTGGACTTGGGCGTCGGCGGCGGCATCGCGGCACGGTCGTGCCTTGCTCTCGGCGCCCCCTGGGTCGGCCTCTGCTGGAACCAGGTGCGCGCCCCATGGCTCAACAACGTCCCCGACCGCTGGACGTTGGAGGAGATCGTCTGTCAACGGCCCCCCCTGCACGAGCAGGACTTGGCGAAGCTCGCGCGGGCGCATTTCTCGGACGTGCTGCAGCAGCTCCAGGACCGCGAGGCCGCGGAGCACGAGGAGGGCGAGGGGCGGCGGTAGGCGTAGGAGGAGGCAGAGTCTGACCCAGAGCCTCGACGCCTGGGAGGCCCGAGGCTGCGTCTGCGACGCCGAGATGCCCCGCGCTCTCGCAGGGGGCCGGCTCCGACGATTTTCTTTCGAGCGCCTGCAGCCGCGTTTTCCGAGAGATTCCCAGACGATCCGACCCGTGCAGGGCCCGCGTCCGCGAGGGAAAATTCTGAAAGACGACGGGGGCCCACGGTGACGGGGGATGGGGGGGGGGGAAGGAGGAGGAGGAGGAGGAGGAGGAGGAGGAGGGGGAGGAGGAGGAGGAGGAGGAGGGAGGAGGAGGAGGAGGAGGAGGAGGAGGAGGAGGAGGGAGGGAGGAGGGAGGAGGAGAGGAGGAGGAGGAGGAGGAGGAGGAGGAGGAGGGAGCAGGGATGCGGCACGAGGAAGGGGAAGAGGAGGAGTCCGCGGGTTGTGAGTCCGAGTCTGAGGAGGAGGAGGACGGAGGAGGAGGAGGAGGAGGAGGAGGAGGAGGAGGAGGTAGGAGGCATAAGGAAGGAAAGCGGGACGACGACATCGAGGATGCGAAGTCGGGTCTTGAGGAGCCGGGTTTTCGGGATTTGTTGTGGCGAGGGGGTTGTCCAAGACTCGCAGAGCCATCTTGTAACGCCATTTTGGCGCCACCTCGGGGTTCTTTCAGGGTCGCTCGGGGGCGCGGAAGGGGCCCTCTTGGGGCGCATGCCGGGGGGTCCGGGGGGCCTCTCGGGGCCCTCTGAGAGGCAGGCGGCGTGCACTGGCGGCCCCCTTGGAAGCTCAGAGAGGGCGTGGTGGGGCCCTCTTGGGCCGCTCTTGGACTTCTCTTGGGCGTTTTTGGGGCCGTCGTCGGCTGTGCTTTCCCCAGGCTGCCGCCATGCCGACTGCATGCCGTCGACATGCTGTTGCCGCTTTGATGTAGCGATATTGCCCTGCTGTTGCCTCGCTGTTGCCGTGCGGACGTTTCGCTGATGCCATGACGGTGGCATTCTGCGGCAGCGCTGTGGCAGTTTTCCTGTGTTCCGCCGTTGCCGCGCGGTTGCCTCGCGGTTTCCGTGACGTTGCCCCCGCCATTGCCAGGCGAATGCTGGACGGCGGCTATTCTGTCGCCATGCTGTTGCCATGCGAGCGCCGCGCCGCTGCCGCGCGGATCTCTTGCGGTTGCCATGCTGTCGCTTTGCCGTCGCCATGCCGGGGCCATGCTGCGTCCGAGCTGCAGACAAGCTATTGCCGTGCTCTTGCCCTGCCACTGCCAAGCTGTTGCCATGCGCATGCACTGCTGTCGCCATGCCGTGGCCGTGCTGTTGCCAGGCATGTTGCCGTGCCTCTGCCATGCTGTTGCCATGTTGATGCCATGCTTTTGCCATGCTTCTGCCGAGCGGATGCCTGGCTGCTGCCATGCTGTGCCCACGCTGCTGCCATGCTGTCGCCGTGCCGTTGCCATTCCGTCGCCGTGCTGTCTCCGTGCTGCCGGGCTGCTGGTGCCATGCTCTGGCCTCGCTGCTGCCATGCTGCTGCAATGCCGCTGCCATGCTGCTGCCACGCGGTTGCCAGACATGGCCGCGCCGATTTCACGCTGTTGCCGCGCCGTTGCCGTGCTGTCTGCATGCTCTTGCCGAGTTGTTGCCATGCTCTAGCCGTGCTCTGGCCATGCTTTTCCCGTGCTGTTCCCCCGCCGTGGCCGTGCCGATCCAATGCTGCTGCCATGCTGTCGCCGCGCTGATGCCGCGCCGCGACCCTGCCGCGGGCGCGCTGTCGCCATGCCTGAGCCATGGTGTCCCCGCGCGGTGGCCGCGCTGCTGCCATGCCACGCCCTGCCATCGCCATGCCGTCGCCGTTCCACCGCAACGACAGCGCGGGACGACGGGCGGGACGACTACCGGAACGATCTGGGCAGGCCCTCTCGGGAAGGCGCCGACTTGCGCAAGTCAGGAGTGTAATTTTCCGGCCCGCGGCCGGAAACTTACATTCCTGACCTGCGCAAGTCGGCGCCTCCAGAGCGTTTTCGGGCCATCGTGGGACCCTCGTGGGAGCCTCTGTGGCGATCTTGGGGTCGTCTTGGGCCGACTCGGGGCCCTCTTGGGAACCTCGCGCGCTGTCTTGGCGCTAGCCTGGGGGTTCTTCGGACTGTCTTGGGCCGCCGGAAACCCAAACCAGTGATAGCTGCCAACATCTTGCACAACAAATACGTAAAGTCACGTTTGTTTACCCCCTCGAGCTCTCTCGGAGGGCCTCCTGGAGCTCTCTCGGGCCGCCTCGAGGGATCTTGGGCCGTCTTGAGGTCGTCTTGAGAGCCTCTCGAGCCGTCTAGAGGCCATGCCGAGAGGCACTCGAGGCGTCTTCGACTATCTTGGGCCGTTTTGATGTCGTCTTGGCTGTCATACCAGGTAGGGGGCGCCTCCGCAGCGTTTTCGGGCCATCGTGGGGCCCTCGCGGGAGCCTCTTTGGCGATCTTGGAGTCGTCTTCGGCCGACTTGGGGCTCTCTTGGGAGCCTCGCGCGCTGTCTGGGCGCTATCCTGGAGGTAGCTCGGACCGTCTTGGGCCGGCGGAAACCCAAACCAGTGATAACTGTAAAATCTGTCGCAAAAAAAAGGATCACGATTGCTTACCCCTTCGAGCTCTCTCGGAGGGCCTCCTGGAACTGTCTCGGGCCGCCTCGAGGGATCTTGGGCCGTGTGGAGCCCATCTTGAGAGCCTCTGGAGCCGTCTAGAGGCCATGTCGAGAGGCACTCGAGGCGTCTTCGACAATCTTGAGCCTTTGTGATGTCGTCTTGGCTGTCTTGGAGGCCCTCTTGAAAGGCCATCCCGGCCGAGAGGATGCCGAAGAGAAAGCGGAAGAGCGATATCAGAGGGGACGATTTTTCACATACGCATGCGATGAGGGGGCGGGGTCGGCCTTAGAAAAAAAAACCCGAACCTCACTCGGACACATTCTAACGCGCCCACTCCGTGCAGGCACGGTGGCGGATTGCCGTGCTGTCGCTTCGCTATGGCCATGCCATTGCCATGCTATTGCCATGCTCTTGCCATGCCCAGGCCGCGCTGTCGCCGTGCGCGTGCCGCGCAGTCGCCGCGATGTTTCCACGATGCTGCGCGGTACTGCGACGCAGCGCCCTCGCGGGCGCTATGCCGCGCTGCTGCCGTTCCCATGCCGCGCGGCTGGGTCGGATTGCCGCAGCCGTTCTGGATCCCAGGCCAGCCCAGAGCACCGCTCAGATCGCCGCGCAGCATCCCTGCTTCGCGATGGCCCCCTCGCCCGCGCGCGCGCCGCCCACGAAGGTCGCCAAGGGCGGCGCGAAGGGCGCTGGCCCCGAGCAACCTCCAGCGCCCGCCGCCCCGATGCCGACGCCAACGCCTCCGGGCGCCTCTGCGGACGTTGCGGCGCCCCGCGTGCCGGTGTTCCCCGTCGGGGAGGAGGCGGCCAACTACACCGAGGAAAAGACGGAGACCCTGATGCGAGCCGTCGTCGCTTACAACAGGTACCACGTTCGGCGGGTCATGAAGGAGGACTCCAGGTGGTTCAAGGGATGGCAGGACCGGCCCGTGCACGAGCACCAGCCCCTCGCCATCAAGAAGCCCGACTCCAAGGACGACCTGCTCACATACGTCAGCCCGTGGAAGAGGGCAGAGGCCATCATCTATTTCAACGGAACGGGCGCGTACAAAGGGGGCGGCAACGTGTTCTGGTTGGACCCTTTCGTGGGGTCTTCTGGGAGGATGCGCTCCATTGCTGGGGACCCGCCGCTCTACCCAGCGTGCCTCGACGCCGCTGAGCAGTACGCCCTGGGCAAGATACACCAAGAAGGGGTTGCGCGGGGGTTGGTTAGCGCGGTGCACGAAGCGAGGATCAAGTTCCCCCACACATTCACCGCTTTCGGTTGGAACTTGAGTGGGTTCGACGCCGACCATTTCGACTCCTCTCTGCCGCTCGTCTGCGGCCACGTGGCTCTATGGGGCTTCCACCCCGCTCTGACGAAGGCCCTCGTGGCAGGTGACATGGCTTCGGTGGCGGCGTTGGCCCAGGCCGCCCTCTGCGCGCCCGTCGAGGGCGTCATCGTGGAGTCCGAGGAGAAGCTCTCCGTGCTCTCTATCATGACGAGCGACGCCGCTCGCAAGCAGTACGACTACCTCAGGAATTCCGTCCCCGCGTTCGCTCGCAAGCTCACGGTGGCCCTGGACGGCGCTCAGACAAAAGGGGCGGCAGCCAGGCTCGCATTCTGCACTGAGAATAACGTCCGCTTCAACGGCACGGTCGTGCACAGGAGCATGCTCTGCGCGGCGCAGAACTGCCACGAGAGGCTCGACGACCGGGCGATCCGCACCCTGCGCTACATCGAGAGCAAGAGTGGAGCGAGCAAGTGCGAGCTCACCTCGAACTTCACCACCCTGAACCGCATCCTGCAGGTTTGCACGAAGGAGGTCGATAAGGGCAACGCCGCCATGTGGGGCGCAGTGACGGCCACCGATCTCGTCAACCACGTGTTGGACTACATCGCCTGGGCCCTTGACCGCGACAAGGTCGAAGGAGGTGGCGTGACAACCTCGTGGCTGGAGAAGAAGAAGAAGGACAGCGACGAAGCAGGGGCGATGAGGATGACGCTGGCTAAGGTCTACGTGCGCGTCTTCGTCCACTCCCTGGTGGACGACCTCCCTGACTCCAGCAGCGCGAAGAAGGAGTTCCTCGGCGTCTTGCCGCACTTCTCGAGCTACGCTGTCTTCGGTCGGACGTTCGGCACCGCGGCTAAGGGCGCCTCGGCGCCCGCGGGCGGCGACGGGCAGGCGGAGGCAGACACGGCAGGCCACAGTGGGGTGCAGGTCGACGACCCCTTCGGGAAGATGAAGGCGCAGACCGCTGGGGCGGCCGCGAAGCTGCTCGTGTTTTTCTTCGACCTCTTCAGCCAGAGTTTCGACGACAGCCTCCGCCAGTTCCTGGCCGCAGACGCCAACGTGAATCAGGCCGTGTGCCAGGTCAAGTGGGGGGACTGGACGCAAGCAAACCTCGTGGAGATCAGGAGGGCGCTGGGCCTCCACAGGATGACCGTGCCAGCCAGCGAGGGTTCGGACATGCCCGCTGCCTCGACGCGCGGTCTGAAGCGGAGCCTCTCGGCGGCGGGCGACGACGGCCCGGGCGACGAGGACGCCGACGACCGCGAGAAGGAGATCTGCAAGGAGCGCGCGGAGGCGTGGGGCCAGGCGCAGGCGCTCCGCCGCAAGTGGCTGACGCCCACGTTCATCAAGACCGACAGGCTTGCCAAGGAGCAACTCGACAAGTGGTGGGAAAAACAGACGGCCGCGCACCAATTCGAGGGCCGCCCCGGCAAGTCGCATCGCGTCTTCGTGTTGTCGGGGGAGAGGTGGGCCCACGAGACGGGCGAGACTCCGTGGGCGAACGAGCCCTCGTCGCCGGCCTCCCTGGACATGGCGCTGGACTGGCTCTTGGAGCGGCAGGGCCCGTGCGACGCGCCCCTCGTATTCGACGGCCGCTCCTCCTCGATCCGCGCGACGATAGAGAAGAAGATGGCGGGGGCTCGCCACGTCAGCGACATCTTGATCATCTACCAGCCGAAGGCGGAGACGGGGGGGCAGAAGGCCGTGTTCGGCTCCAGGAACCGCGAGGTCGGGCGGGTCAGCTTCCCCGCATCGAGGCCCCACGTCCCGACGCAGGAGCGCAAGGCCGCTCGCTGTGGAGGGGACGACTGGGAGTCGACCACCTACTCGTCGACATTCTCGAGCATGACCCCCCTGGCGCGGGGCCAGCTCCCGAGCATCGCCCTCGCGGACAAGAGCAAGATCATCGGCGCCAGGGCGCCCGTGCCCCCGCGCGCGACGTTCGACGCAGACCTCGGATGCCCGCTCTGCTGGCCGGAGGTGAAGTCGAAGGACCTCTGGGGCGCCCTGCTGGAGGCCGCTAACGCTGACTTCGTGGTGGACTTGGGCGTCGGGGGCGGAATCGCGGCGCGGTCGTGTCTCTCTCTCGGCATCCCGTGGGTCGGCCTCTGCTGGAACCAGGTGCACGCTCAGTGGCTCAACGACGTCGTCGACCGCTGGGCTCTGGAGGAGATCGCGACGAAGGGTTCCCCCTTGCACGAGGAGGACTTGGCGAAGCTCGTGCGCGAGCACTTCTCGGACGTGCTGCAGCAGATCAAGGACCGCGACGAGATGGCGCAGGAGGACTCGGAGGAAGAGGAGGGCGAGCCAGAGGGGTAGCCGTGAGCGCGCTAGCAGGTGGCAGAGCTTGAGCCAGAGCCTCGACGCCTGGCTGGCCCCTGCCTCCGTCCGCGCCGCCGCGATGCCCCGCGCCCTCGCAGGGGGCGGCTCAGGGGATGTTCTTTCGAGCGCCTTCGCGCGCATTTTGCGAGAGAATCCCCCTTGGATTCGGCCCGCGCTCGGCCCGCGTCCGCCAGGAAACATGGCTCGACGCGCGCCGTTCCCATGCCCAGGCCGCGCAGCTGCCATGCCCAGGCCGTGCCGTTGCCATGGCCAGGCCGTGCCGTTGCCATGCCCAGGCCGTGCCGTGCCGTTGCCATGCCCGCGCCGCGCCGTTGCCATGCCCAGGCCGTGCCGTTGCCATGCCCAGGCCGTGCCGTTGCCATGCCCGCGCCGCGCCGTTGCCATGCCCAGGCCGTGCCGTTGCCATGCCCAGGCCGTGCCGTTGCCTTGCCCAGGCCGTGCCGTTGCCATGCCCAGGCCGTGCCGTTGCCATGCCCAGGCCGTGCCGTTGCCATGCCCAGGCCGCGCCGTTGCCATGCCAAGGCCGCGCCGTTGCCATGCCCAGGCCGTGCTTTTGCCATGCGCAGGCCGTGCCGTTGCCATGCCCAGGCCGTGCCGTTGCCACGCCCAGGCCGTGCCGTTGCCATACCCAGGCCGCGCCGCGCGCCGTTGCCATGCCCAGGCCGTGCCGTTGGCATGCCCAGTCCGCGCCGTTGCCATGCCCACGCGGCGCCGTTGCCATGCGCAGGCCGTGCCGTTGCCATGCCCAGGCCGTGCCGTTGCCATGCCCGTGCCGCGCCGTTGCCATGCCCAGGCCGCGCCGTTGCCATGCCCAGGCCGTGCCGTTGCCTGGCCCAGGCAGTGGAACCATGGAGTTGAACAGATGGGGCCCCTGATTATGGAATTCGATCTGTAGACCCCATCCGATTGAGTCGAACCAGTGGAAGCCAACCAATGGAATCACGTCCATGGGGTCCAGGCTGATTCCGCAGAGTCGAACGATGGACGGGCGAAGTCTGGGCGGGTTTAGCGGGGTCCGGTAAAAAGGGCATGGGGGCGGCGAGGGGAAGTATAGGGAAACGCATTGTAAATATAACATCTAGGAGCAGGCTCGACGAATATGGGGAGTGGGTGAGAGGGGAATGGCGGAGTAGTACATGGGCCAGGGACAGGACATATACAGGAACAGCACACAGCACACACAGCAACAACACACATAGCAGACATGGCTCCAGCACACATACATAGAAACGGCACTCGTAACACACGAGAGTAACGCACCACGACCAGGTCCGGGCGCAGACACTTTGGCTCAAGCCTTGCTTAATGAAGCGCTGGCGCGCGGGCGTGCTCGGCCCCCCGAACACCTCGCCCTCAGTCATGCCGCCGAAGGTGCATCTGGCGCCTCCGCAGGACAGGATGGTCTACCCCAGGTACGTGCGGAGGTGCCGTAACCCCGTTCTGAAGCGCAAGATGATGCGCATGCAGCGGTCCATCTTTGCGCTGAAGCTCAAGGATCGCTTCCACCTGAGTCGGATCGCCTCCTTGCGGAGGCAGGTCGCGCAGGCCGGGAAGTTCGCGGACTCCGCGCTGCTCAAGGACGAGGATCAGAGCCACATCCGCGCCGTGGCGCTGCGCAACGCAGAGAACATGGACGACGAGTCCGAGTCTAGCGGCGACTCGGATTGATGAGATTGATGCTTCTGTGCGGCACGTCTCCGGTAGATTACAGCAGCTGTTGATTCAGACTCTCTCTTGTAAAGCCTTCTCTGCTGCTGTTGCCTGAGACTCTCGCTTGTAAAGGCCTCTCTGCTGCAGCTGCCCCAGACGAGGCGATAGAGGCCTCAGTTCGCCCCTGCCGAGGCCAGCTGTAGAAGGAAAATGCCCAGCATAACCATCGCCAACACCGACAACATCAACATCGTCATCACGAGCAGAATCGATACCACCACCACCATCGCCAGCATCACTAGCAACATCACCATCGTCAGCAGCACCATCACGACCATCATCACCATCACTATCACCACCATCATTAGCATCACCGCCACCACAACTTACATCACTACTAGGCTGCCTTCTGGTGTGGTTTTCTGGTTTTGTCTTTTTCCCTGCGGCCCTGCTATCTTCGTCCACCTCCCTTCTCCTCTTCTCGCCGGTGCTTTTTTGCCTCAGGGATGTTGCTGTACATTCAGCCTCTGATCAGTCTCTGCGGAGCATCGCCATGGAGTGCACGTGTTACTCGAGGGATGTTGCGGCCCCCATGTCCGATTCGTCCCCTCTGCGTTCTTCCTTCTTCTCCCTCCGCATGCGCCGAATAAAAAAAATGGCGCGCTAGTGCCATACTATGGCCACGCCTGCGCCATATTTTTGAAGCTCGAGTATCCCCGCGGCCGTGCCGTTGCCATGCCCAGGCCGTGCCGTTGCCACGCCCAGGCCGTGCCGTTGCCATGCTCAGGCCGCGCCGTTGTCCCATGCCCAGGCCGCGCCGTTGCCATGCCCAGGCCGTGCCGTCGCCATGCCCACGCCGCGACGTTGCCATGCCCAGGCCGTGCCGTTGCCATGCCCAGGCCGTGCCGTCGCCATGCCCAGGCCGTGCCGTTGCCATGCCCAGGCCGCGCCGTTGCCATGCCCAGGCGG